CACTAATTAATGAACACCTGGTAACCTGACTTCTGACCCAACCACTCTACTGAAACTGCTTTTTTTAAGACCATTCATTCAATCATTCACATATACCACATAAATTTATAAGCAGCCAGTATGTGTCAGGCTCTATTCTAGGCAATGAGATGTAGTAATGAGTAAACAAATCTTTTCCTTAAGTACACACAATCTAGTCCAGGAGATAGTCAAGTAACAAGTAAGTATATAATAAGATATCAAGCAGTGAGTGAATAAAAAATATTGTGAAGAAAAAGTAAGTCAAAAGAAAGTAATGGGGGTGTGCACTATTTTAGATGGTATGGTCAGGGAAGGCCTCTTTGAGTAGGTGACAACTGAGCAAAGGCCTAAAGCAAGTGAGGGAGTGAACTATTTGGATATCTGGGGGACAGGAGAGCATTCTTGGCCTAGAAAAGAACAAATGACAAAAGCCCTGAAACAAAAGCCAGCTTGACTTAAACCAGAAGTTGCTGCTTAGATGAGGACTTCATGTTTTGAGTGGAGGAAGGAGGAAAGTGGTAGGTATGAACTCAGAGGGAGCAGATCATGCAGGGCCTTGAGACCATGGTAAGGATTTGTGTTTGTATTTGTCAATTTTGACAACCATTGACTTTTTCTGTGTTCTTAACCTCTTCAATTGCTCTAGAGTAAGTGACAGTTTAATTCATTTATGAAACCTTTGCTGGGCACCCTCTAGGTGCTAGACTGGGTACTGCTGGGAAGACATACAAATGTGAACAAATACTGCTTCCCTGTCAAGATTCATTGCCCCAGAAAGAAGGCAGAATTGTCACCTATAAACAATGTTGCACTTTCGGGCAACACTGGACAAAATCATAAACAAAGTCCTAGGGAGACACAATGAGATGCCATCTCCCTTCCTTGATGTGTCCTTATCCCAAGTCATCATCTTACTCATCTCTTCTTCAGTCTTCAACCCCACGCCTAGTCCAACTTCGTGAAGATCCAGTTCAGATGCCACCTCTTTCAGAAAGCTTTCCTTGAAATGTCCCATCGGTTGTGCTCTCTTCTTCCCGTGACTTTCCTATCCCCTCATTTCTGTTTTCCCATGATTCCCTTCCATTTTTCCCTGAACGGGACAATGGTTAGTTGTATGTGTCCCATCCCCTGGATGTCCCACTGCCAGTCACGGCCTGGCACTAACAGGATACTTCTGCAAGCATCTTGTTATCTTTGCACAACACAAAAGCTTTGATCTATGTTGATTACTGTCAGTGTTTACAGAAAAGGAAGAGGCACTGCCCCCACAGAGTCAGTCACTGGAACTAACGGCTGAGGGAGGCCATGGGCTCATCCTGGAAGAACTTCGTGAACTGCCTGGGCAACAGGATTTGAGACCTACTCCCCTCCCCCAGATAGTTAGAGAAGAAGATTAAACAGGGCAGGAAGGACCTTTAGCCAAGCCACCCTCAATTGCCCTCAGTCTTTGCATTCACCCCTCAGCTTTTCAAAGACTTGCATCATGAGGGATTGAGTAGTACGAGTGTGGGTGGTGGCCTCTCCTCTTTCGGTATTTTGATTTTTGGTTCTTAAAAACTACATCCCAAATGAGGGAAATGAAACTACTAAAGACTCTCCCCCAGCAAACAGCTGACGTGGGGCAAGAGAACAATTCCCAGTTAAGGCCCCGAAGGAAATCCCCTCCCTGTCATGTGCTAAGGCTGGAGAAGTTGGGGAGCCACTACTTCACTTGCTTGGCTAGGCTCAGCAGCCAAGGTGAAGGGCCAGGAGGAAAGGACTGCGCTCTCTGTGGCCAGGAGTGGAGAACCCAAGGCAGAGTAGGTGACAGTGAGAGGGCCAGCACGCCCTCTCTTCCCCCCATGGTGCATCTCTTCACTGCAGGTGAGAGTGAGGGGGCCCGCATCTTAGGCCTGGAGTGAACTGCCTGTTCCAGAGGTAGACCCACCACTGCATTGCTAGTGTGGAAGAAAAAGGTGCCACACACTAAACCTGACAAGCTCAGGGGAAGCCATGCAGGTGGACTTTACAAACTCATAGCATGGTCTGAACATAAAAATGCCTAACTAAAAGCGAGTCATGGCAGGCAGCCACATCCTAGACCTGTAACTTCCTTGATAGTCAATCTTTACCTTAAGTAAGTCTGTCTGTTGTCTTTTTGCATCTAAGAAAACATACCTGTGAAATGTCAGAGCAATCCTCTTTTTCCCAGCCCCTCAGAGTGCAACCTCACACCACAGCATGAGATCGCAGAACCCCTCATTGTTATCTTGTTCCCCAAATATCATCTCTATGTGCTGTAAATATTGTCAACTATCCTCAACCCACCAGTGTAAAAGAAGCACATGTCTTTCCATTTTACTCTTTATGCAAGCTCAAAGGTTTGTCCAATTTGCTTTCTACCATCCCCTTAATCTAGCACCGATAGATTTAATGTAACCTTCTGTATGTCTCCTCCTTTGATTCTAATGTATAAAATAAGATGTACAACTCTTATTCCCCAGAGCATTTTCTCAGTCCCTTGAGATTTTGCTTCCTGGAAGTTGCTGTCAGCTTGCCTCAAATAAACTCATAAAAATTCTCTGAAAATTTGGACATTTCTTACATCGACATTGGGTACAATGGACTGTACTCTCCTCTCACAGACCCATCTAGAGGAAATAAACTAGCCCTCATTTCTCTCTTTGGAGCCTTTGCATACTTTGCCCCCACCTCACCCCACCCCACCCCCACTCCAAATGTCTCCCTTCACATTCTCTGCTGTAGGCCTCCCCACCTCTCAGTCCTGAATAGTATCTGCTTATCCTTTGAAAATGCAGTGGTAAGGGAGGCAGAAGGCCAAGTTCCTCTCATTTCTTTGGGAGACTGAGACCTCCTACCAGAGACAAACTATTATAAAGCTTAATTTAGGGAGGAAAATACCCCCTGAGAAGGCACTGGGCAGTATACTTTTTGGCCCCATCCTCCAAGATGTTTTTAGTGTAGTTGAAGAAACAGGACAAAAATCCTAAAAGTTAAATCACAATATACATAATACAAGAGATGTTATAAAGCCAGTGGATATTGTAGACCCTTGGTACCATGTGTTTAGAGGAAGAGGTTGAGTCTTCATGGAGGTGAGGGAGCCAAAGCCATGCCTTTGGAGTGAGGAGGGTTGTGGTAGGCAGAAAAGAGGCCATTCCAAGCAAAGGATCCCTCTGACGAGGGAAGTACAGAGTGGAGAGCATTTGTTCTGTGTACAGGGAAATTGTAAACAGATAAGACTAGATGAAACCCATAGTGGACCACAATGAAAAGAGGCTGGAGGCAAGATCTGGCTGAATAAGGCACTTTGTCCTCTAGCTGGGAACTGCCCCTACTCCTTCTGTTCACCTCAGATCTCCTCAGAGATCCTGGTGTGTTGCTTGACACTAAGCTTGGCTTGAGCAGGAGATGGGTACAAATTTCCCAGTCCAGGGAGCAAGCTCAAAGAAAGAGGCGCACGGTCCCCCAGACTCTCACCATCCCGTGAAGAGATGCACCATGGGTTATGTTCCAAAGGTAGTGCACTGATCTCTTTTGCCTTGTACAGCATGGTTAGGAGAAGAACCACAGCACCCAACCAAGTTGGAAAATCCTGAACTGTGTGGTCAGGGTTACAGCACTGTTGGCATGAAAAGTCTTCTGTTTTCAGTTGTAAATCAACATTGGTTTTGGCTGCAAGCCTTCGGTCCCCCCTGCTGAGCCAGCTTGCTGCTAACAGGTGATCTGTTGGTGCTCTGTGCCCACAGACTGGCTTGGCCCCTCATATCCATCAAGACCACTGGTTTTCTAAGTTGGTTTTTTTTTTAAAGGGTAGCAGCTACCTCTCTCAGAAGAAATTCTATAGAGAACCTCAAGGTACAAAAACATAAAAGTGGAATTGTTTGGGATAAGAAGGGGATAGAGCAGACAATTTGCTGGATGTTTGGAGCAGAAAGGACTTGCTCCTATTCTTTTAGGGTGGACATGCCAAGATAATAAGGCAATGCGGAATCACAAATCAACAAGCAACAAGAGATGCAAACCAACCTTCCACTTCACTTTGACTCTCCAGAGCTGATGGAAAAGAGCAGAACTGGAGGTCCCTTCTCTCACTCCGTTAGTACAGTTGTCCTCATTACCTACTCAGCATGCAGCTGACTCTGTCCATATTTTACCTCCTCCACCAGGTGGTAAGTTCCTTGAGAACAGAAGCTAAGAGATAATGCACATAAAGCTCTTGGCATATTGTCTAGCACCCCTTTGATGGTGGCTATTATTAATTCAATTTTTTAAAAATTCTTGGCAAGAGGTAGCAGGGAATTTTGTGCACATCAGGTACAAAAATTTATCCAAGCAGTCTATGATCGATAAGTTTATTGCATTCTAATAGTGCACCACAAAGCAATTTCCATTTCTCTTTTTTTGATGTGCTGGATTATTAATAAAGACTCGCTGACTGAATGGCTCTTCCAGAAGGTAGGCTTTCTCCCAAGTGGAAAATGTTTCCCACTCATTCCCAAAGTCTGCCCCAGCTTGACCTTTGGACATAACCTTGAAGAAGAGTTTTTTGGGTTAGCAGAACCCACAGGCAGGGGCCCCCCAGCTTTCCACCCCTCAAAACCTCTAAGGAGAGAAAGTTGGTGGAGCCTTGACTAGCACTGCTGGCGGGGAGGAGGGGGGAGGGGGCGGCGGGTGTCTCAGGGTTAGTGAATAAAAATAGCTGCCCTCCTTCCTGACTAACCCTGCAGGTAGTCCTGGAGCAACCGTTTCCCGCTGGCTGCCATCTCCCTTCCCCCTCACCATCCACCCGCGGGCAGTTCCTTCTCAGATGCGATGCCTGATCTCTGTGAGTGCTGAGTCGCACAGCAGTTCGCTCTCCATGTGACTTCAGTTTCCGTCAGTTCCTTCCGCAAGTGCAAAAATAATCTGATGCTCCAGAGAGAGGAGGCAGCCCAGCTCTCAAGGAGGCCGGAGCCCCGGGAGAGGATGCACCCCGAGGAGCCGCCTGGGCCTGCGGGAGCCGTGAGTATTTCCTGTGCGGTGGGCAGCCGCCACCCTTCTCGAGGTGGGTGAGCCTGGGCCAGGTTGGGTGGTAGGTCAGCGTCCCTTGTCCAGGCTTGGGACAGTTCAGGAGGTTGTGGCTTGCGGCATTCAAGCTCCACCGCTTTTGAGCCCAGTGTCGGCCCTCCAGCTCTGGAAACAGGTCCCTCTAAGAGCTGAACAAGGTGCTATGGTGTAGTGGAAACAAAGGCTTCAGATTCCTGGTTTGAGGGTTTAATTCCTGTTTTTGTAGGGAGCATTTCTGGGCCTCAGTTTCTTCATCTGCAAAATGGGAACGATAATGCTTCCTCCTGGGTTGGGTGAATGGATGTAGTAAGACTACTGTGTGAGCACTCATTGTGCTTGGTGCTTGGATCCTCTTTCCTGCCCTACAAGTGAATTGAGACTTACCATCTCATAGACGAAGACACTGATACTCATTGACAGCCACCCATACTTACAGATGTCTTCCATGTGCAGGCCCATTCAGGGTGCTGGGGACAGAACTGTGAAGAAGACAGGCAAAACCCCCTCCCCACATAGTGTTCCTGAGAAATTCACTAGGACTCTGTTACTTGAACCCACAGCTAGGAAATGTCAGAGGGAGACGAAATCTCAGCCTTTCTGATCCCTAGTTCAGTGCTCTTCTGTAGCCCTCATGGCCTCTCCATGCGGGCTGGATTCTGTGGGGTTCAGTATATATTCCCATGCATTCAGAAGCTGACATAAGTAAAGGGTCACTGACCCGGCTCCGTACTGCCCTCAGAATGGGCTGCCAGATCACTTGGTCCCTGAGAGAAGGTGACCACGTGCCCAGCAGTAGTTGGGTCTCAAAGAGGCTGAGGCAAGATACTAAGTATGGACCTCCTGGATAGGGCAGGTCTCAGGTGGTGCACTTCCAGGAGAAGTGAAGAGACCCCACTGGGGGTTTCTTCTGTGATGGGTACAGCCTATTAGGGGTATGGACACTAGAAATATTTTGAGTTTGTAGAGTTGGTCTTGTGAGGTCTCCTGTGGTCCCTTCACCCAGTCTGTACTGCACAGACTACTTCTGTGGATGTTGTTGGGTTGCTGGATTTTATAGCCCTGAGACTTATTTATTTGCCTCACACACCCCACAGCCTTTTCCGTGTATGTCTGAGAGTTCCTAGAAGGAATTATAGAATCATGGGCCCAGGGGAAAAAAATAGAGAAAGTTCAACTCCTGCCTTTAAGTTAAAAAAACAAAACAAAAAACCTGTTTCACAAAGAAGGTGCTTTCACCTAATGGGTGTCCTCATGAGAACCTCTTGAAAACCCACATAAACCTGATCCCACATAGTGTTTCAACCCATCACTTAAGAGCAGGAGTCTCCCAAACAGCAGGCTTCTGGTGTCTTTGTCCTGTGTCCCGTGTTAGGGTTATACATCTCTGATTTCTATCAGGGAAGACTGACACCAGTACTGACTATAACCTGTGTTCTGGCTACAGTGCACATCCACACCACAAGGTGTAAACCAGACTCCTGGATGGACAACTTGATGAACCTCACACCATGCTCATATCCACATTATAACCACATAAATTAGAGGAGGGGAGGATTTTGACCACGACTGAAAAACATCTTTCTCAGGTCATGCTTGTTGCATGCTCCATGATGCTCACTGATGAGTCTATGCATTAGCGAAAATATTTTTTGCCTTTAATAAAATTTCTTTAATACACTCGTTTCCTCACTCTCCCCAAACAATTTCATCACTGAACAAATTGTCGTGGATTAATGTGTGGAAGGCTCTGGACTAGGTTAAGTGAACATCTCTGAAAGCTCAGAGAGTCAAGGAGAGAAAAAAGTCCATTGACACTTATATCTTATCAAGCCTCCCAAGTAACTGTAAATCTGAGTTTAGGGTCTTTTAGTTGCATATGACAAAACCCCAATTAGCTTGGCTTCAGAAAAAACAAAAACAAAAACAAAACAAAGCCCTGGCTGGTATGGTTCAGTTGGTTGGAGCATCGTCCCATAACTGAAGGGTTGCAGGTTTAATTCCCAGTCAGGGCATGCCCCTAGGTTTCAGGTTCAGTCTCTGCTCTGGGCACATACAATCCCTAGTCCAAGCACATATGGGAGGCAACCTTTCAATGTTCCTCTCTCACATTGATATTTTTCTCTCTCTCCCTTCCTCCTTCACTAAAAGCAATGAAGAAATGTCCTTGGGTGAGGATTAAAAATGATTAAAAAGCAGACTTTTTTTTTTAATTCGCACCCAAAGACATTTTTTCCTTGCTTTTAGATAGAGAGGAAGGGAAGGAGAAACATCGATGTGAGAAAGCATCAACTGGTTGCCTCCCATATGCATCTGGACCAGGATCTTACGCACCCAGATAAGGCATGTGCACCCGACAGGGGACCGAATCCTCAAAATAGGTATGTGCCATGACCAGGAATCAAACCATAACTCTTCAGTTATGGGATGATGCTCCAACCAACTGAGCCAGACCTGCTCAGGCGGATTGTTTCAAAAAAGTCTATGGAAAACAGCTTGAGGCATGACTAGATCCAGGTGCTCAAACATTGCTAGGACTCCATCTATGTCCATTCCTCAGTATTGCTTTCCTCTGCGTAGGCTTCATTATCAGGCAGGTCTTCAAGTTGGTGGCAAAGATGGGTGTCTGCAGGTTCAAGCTTAATTGCCACCAGTTTGGCATCTGAAGCAGAAAGGGAAGCCTCTGCCTCGATAGTGCTAGCAACAGTCCTTGGATTGATTCTCATGGGCCTGTCTTCTTTGAATCCATTTTAAACCAATCACTGTGGTTAGGGAAATAGGAGGCTCTAATGGGCCCAGCCTTGTTCATAGCCTTTGGAGCTAGGAGTTGAGGTCAAACTCAACCAAACTGAACTTCTTAAGGAATTAAGGGGGTTGGTTGCATGTCCATGTAAATTTGTACTTAATGCTACTGCACCATATACTTAAAATGGTTGAAATGGTAAATTACCATAAATAAAATGGTAAATTTTATGTTATGTCTATTTTAGCACAATTAAAATAATAAGTAAAGAAAAGAAATAAGGAAAGAAAGGTGTGGTTTCCTCAAAGGGAAATTAAGGAATTATTATCAGAAGGAGAAATGAATGTGGGTAGGCAAAACCAACTGATCTCCAGAGCAAATGGAGTCAGGCGCTGAGACTAAATCACATGTGTCTTCTCACTTTAATGCATGAGTGGTTTCAGACTGAACAAGGGAATAAAGGAGGAAGTAGAAACCTGTCACAGCTCTCACCAGCAAGGTGGGTAAGAAGAATGGGGCTGGTACTCATAATGGGCTAAATGTGGCTACAAAGCCCTAAGGACACAGGGACTCCCCACCTCCACACACAACCCAGAAAGCTGCTTTGGTCAGGTGCTGTGACAAGTGCTCCAAGTAACTTTCTGTTGCCAAGGAAGAAAGAGAAGAGTGGGGAGGGAGCTTCTGCTCAGGAGATAGAACTGGGGCTCTGTCTTTTCATCCTGGCTCTTCTCAAGCAGGACTTGCGTGGCTGAGGCAGCCCAGCTCCCACACTGACCAGCAGGAGCTCATCTTGGAGCACACATCGTGTTCTCCAACAACCTCATGTCACTCATTTTAGATGTCAGGCTGGACACTGGCTCCTCCTGATCCTCCCTACTGTCACTCCTCTCCTTGTGCAGCCACGATCCCACAAGTCTCTCCTGCCTTTCCAGTGTCTCTTCTCAGTGGTCCCACCAGATGCCAAAGCTGAGACTTTTCCCTCAGCCTGCAGGGTCAGTGTCAAGTGGGCCTTTCCCTGCCAGGCCCTGGGCCACCTTCTTGAGCTTCCAATATGTTAATGGCCTCCCTATCATTGCCCGGCCTGGTACCCTGACCTCATGAGACTCCCTCAATGGTCTTTCTCTTGTTCTAGGTTCTTGCACCCTCCCTCAGTCCCTAACCTGAAGCTTCCATATTAGTTAATAATACTGGCTTCTTATTTTCTTCTAAACTCCCAGTTTTCCTAGGCTTTCTGGCTTCTTTGCAGAACCTATAAAGGCCCTCATCTTTGTTTTAGGTTCACTCTTTGGTGTTGACAGGTTGCCTCATCCCCAGCGAAGACCGTGGCCCCATGAACACTCAGGGGTGCTATTCCGAATATCAAATACCACATCGAACAGGCACCGACTGATCAGAATTGACATTTTCATTAACAGCAGGGTCCTGGGGACTCTTGCTGAGTTGGTGTTACCTCCTTAATTGCTAGATCATGGTAGGGGCCTTGGGAGTTTTGAGAGGGTAGCCAGGAAGCTGGGGGGAGGGGGTTGCTTATGAGGTAGCTATTTACCAATAAATATATACTTATGCAACCCAGCTGAATATTCATTCAATGTATATTCCTTTCAGACAGGTACACATTGAACACCTACCTAGGCCGGAAGTCAGCTTTGGTTTTGGCTTCACTGCCTGCAAGCTATGTGACTTGAGCAATTCACTTTGGCTTTTTCAAGCCTTGGGTTTTCTTATCTGTATAATAGAGATAATAAGCAGGGACTAGAACATAGATACTTGTACACTAATGTTTATAGCAGCATTTACTTATTGTGACCAAAAGGTAGAAACAACCCAACTGTCCATTGATGAGTGAATACATAAACAAAATGTGGTATAATCATATAATGGAATATTATTCAGCTGTAAAAAGGAATGAAATTCTGATACACGCTATAACATGGAGTGGCCTTGAAAACATTGTGCTAAATTAAATAAACCAGACACAAAAGGTCAGATGTTACACATTTCCTCTTATATGATTCTACTTGCATGAGGTACCTAGAATAGGCAAATATATAATGAAGAAAGGATAGTGGCTACCAGGGACTGAAGGGAGGGAAGAATGGGGAGCTACTTTCAATGGGTACAGAGCTTTAGCTTGGGACAATGAAAAAGCACTGGAGATAGACAATGGCAAAGTTGCATGACAATGTGAGTGTACTTAATGCCCCTGGAAAGGGGT